GTATAGTCAGGAAAAACAAATTGATATATTCATCATGTCTAAAAATACATGTCTCACTCTGAACCTGTAGTCCATCACCTCTTTGGACCTCCAGCCACTACCACTGGGCACACAGTAGTTACTCAATAAATATTGATTGATTGCTCGATTGATCACAGTTTAAATTTCACAGCTCCTTTTTGGCTTTGAACTTTGGGTTCTCCTACATTTTTGATAGTGTTCCAAGTTCTACTCCATTTCGAGTTTGAGTTCATCCTTTTATCTCCTTAGATTCCTGGAAAAGTAGATTATTTTCTTTTTGAGTCACTATGCACTGGCTTCAGGTAAAAACTTGCTCTCTTGGCATTTATTTAATTTATTTCTACTGACAGTGCTCTTTCTTTTGCTCCATTCTGAAATAACTTTTTAATTCATACATTCTAGTTTCATTTTCTGTTAACCAGTTTTGTTTTTTCTTATTCCCATTCTTTAAGACAACATAGTGTAATGGAAAGAGCACTGTATTTAGAGTCAGAAAACTCTGGTTTGAATTTTAGTTCTTCTGCTTACTTACATCGTCAAACCAAGGTCAAATCAATTGTCCTTTTTTTTTTTTTTTGGCTAGGCAATGAGGTTAAGTGACTTGCCCAGGGTCACACAGCTATTTAATGTTATGTATCTGAGGTCGAATTTGAACTCAGGTCCTTCAGAATCCAGGGCCGGTGCTCTATCCACTGTGCCACCCAGGTGCCCCCAACTGACCTTTCTAAGACTAGATTTCTTTATCTATTTCTATAAAATGGTCGTAAAACTACTTGTACTGATGTACCTCAGGGGCAGCTGAAAAAAATGCTTTATAAATTTTAAAGCACTAAAGGTGTTGCTGTTTTTGTTTGTTGGAAAATAGTGTTGGGGGGGTCTGTGGTAGGTTAGACACATCAGTTACACTGAGGATGGAGTTGTGAATTAGCCTAGGTACTCTGTAAAGTAATTTAGAATTATGCAAGAAACGTTGTTAAAACATTTTGATCTGGCAGACCCATTATTAAGTTTATATCCTACAGGGATCATGACAGTAAAAAAGTTTCATATGTACTGAAATAGTCATAGTAGCACTATTTGTAGTAAGAAAAAGCTGGAAACAAATTATATGCTCTTTCATTATTCATTTAACCCCTTAGTGCTCTAGATAACTTTCTAAGACTAAGTTTCAAAGTTTCACACGTGTAAGTAGAGGGAGTTTCCTCATCTGAGAGCTCCCTTTAGCAATGAAATCATAGATCCAGTTCCTGTTGTTATCACTAGTATTAGGGATAGCTCTCTTGGAAGCAAGGGAGGGAGGTGGTGAAGTGGTCCATATATAGGTGATGCAAAATCCAAAGCTATTAGTTTAAAAAAGTATGTTCTAGTAGATTGGGGAATGATTCAACAAATTGTGATTCAGCAAAACTATAATGGAATAGTTATTGTGCTAGAAGAAATGACAAATAAGAATTCCTGTCTGAAGTTGGAAGACCTATATGAACTGATGAATATCAAAGAACCAAAAGAACAATATGTGCAATAATGTAAATGAAAGTAATACTAAAAATAACAGATAAGTTCAGTGACCAATATTGGTTATAGATGATTAATATTAAAATATCCTTCTTTCATTTCTGTTATAAGAGTAAATTGTGAGTAGAAGGTTCTCAGTCACAATTGCTATTTTAAATTATTTTGCTTAAAACAAAACAATTTTAAAGGGAAGTTATTATGAAGGTTTATTGGAAGGTGATTGTTTTGTGAAAACAATTTTTATTAATTAAATTTTTTAAAGCAACAGAATAGAAAAAATCTTAAAGTATGATTTGAGTTGTGCTATTATAATTATACTTCTCGGATTGATTAACCTTTCCCTCTGGACCATTTCAGTTTAGGTTGTCTTGGTCTCTGCTCCAAACTCTTATCAAAATGTCTTTGGCCTAGTCAAATTTTCCTGTCCGCATTAGGATAGTTTATATTATCCCTTCTCTAAGTTTAGGATACATTACTGTGTTAAAGATGATCTGAGCTTTTCCTGAGAAGTCCCATCATTATCTTCCACCTCTTAGGTTTTGTCACCTCATCTCTTTTAGCATAGGGTGGTTACCTCTCAATCAACGATAACTTTTGGCAGGGAAAGGTGGCATGTGGCCTTAGTACAAATTGTATTCCGCATACTCATGTTGCTTTGGCTTTAGCTTCATTTAATTTCACAGTCAAGCTTCATTTTTCAGACTTTTTTCATTTATATCATTTGTCATCACTGAAATTCTCAACCTACTTTCCAGCCCACAATTCTGCCCCTGCCCATCTTCCTCGAGATATATAATTAAGACAGGTAATGCTTTAAGGCTATACTAATCAGTGTTTGAAAAAATCTCTGGACACTTTTTCAGTTTGCTTAATTCCTTGAATCATGCAGATACCCTAGCAATTGATTTTCTTATAAATGAAGTATGAATGAGTATCATTCAATGATTATATTGTTGTGCAACACAGTGTGGTGGTTTATAATCTCTTTGTTATGATAATTTTGAAAGAATCATTTTTAAAGATAATTTCCTCATGTTTTAACATTCTGTATTAAATAAATCCCCCCCCCCAACTAGATTAGGTAGAGAAGCAGTTAAGGAACTATACAGATATAAATCTAATAATTAATTGCCCTGGCTTTTTTTCTTCCCCCACCCATTCCAATCTCAAAAGCTACGTTGTTTATACAGGTTCTTTTTAATGAGTCCCAAGGATTTAAACACAATTAGCATTGTTCTATTTCCTTCATTTGAGAAAAATATGCTTCTTAGTAAATATAACTTGCTTTTGTTAGTGAAGAATGCCATTGAATAATGCCAAACTATTTTAGGATCTTGAAATTAAAATATTTATAAACAAAACATACTTCAGAAATTACTGTTATTAAAAGAAAGTTTTTCCTTTGTTTGGGTCTATAGTAAATTTTAGAAAGTTTTGAAGTTGACTAATTATGATGGTCACTTTTTAAAAAGAGAAGATCTTTGCAATACACACTAAACATAATGATACCAGTAATCCTGTTCACCCTGATAGTGCACTTCACTCTTGATGTATGGTAGAGGTCTTTGGTAGTGATCCTGAGACTCCCCAGGGTACTAGATCCTAAGTCTCATGTACTTTCATTTTTAAAATTCATTAGAACCTAGGAGAGAGAGAGGAGTTGGGTTTTTTTCTTAGTAACATTTTACCTTAATATGAAATTATCTTAAGTAAGAATCCATCTGTAGGCCTTCTTTTGTTATGGGAGAGACTGAAATAGTAAGGTCCATTACTGACTGAAAAAGCAATTAACTGTAGTTGGGAGAGGAGGAAGCTCCTCCTTAAAGGTAAATAGGAAAACAGTCTTTAAAGATTTTTTTCATTACTGTTGAGTGAGGTGAACTTTTAAACCTCTTCCTTTAAAATGTTCCTAAACCAAAGAGAGCTTTAATTTTTAACATTTTCATTTTGTACTTAAAAACCACACAAAATAAATTATTTTGGTGGAAGTATACCAGAAACTCAGTAATCCATTCTTCACTGTAGAGCAGAAGCCAGTAGAAGGCAGGTCCTTCTTGGACAGTATCCAAGAAATTCTGAAATATCAAAAGAACCTCAGTTTAAGACCCTTTCATTTAGAAGACAGTCCTGTGACATGGATCTCAGATGTTATATTGAGTTCTAGCATATTTCAGCAGGAAGAAGGAAAGAGATTTTAAATCTGAGACTGTATTTTCTTGAAATCTTTTTGAAGAACAGTTGCTTTTAGATAGATATTAATGCTTTGATCTTCATTCCTGCGTGCATGTGTACACATGCAGCTAGAGACCAGGATTTGGCTAATGTCCATAGTGAGGAATAGAGCCAAATACATGATGTTTATATTTAGCATTTTGTCTGTAAACCTCTCGTTCCCCTTTGTTTTTGTGATTTTTCTCCAGAATTGCTCTTAACATTGATTTGATTTTGCCAGAAATGTTTTGAGTGGGGCAAGGAATGAACTCATGGCATGATTTGCCCTGGGCCTTGGAATAGATCTGAGCCCATGTACCATGCTAGAGAATCCTGCTGAGGCTTAATTGCTAAGTAAAGTCTTCAGCCTTGACAACAGTTGTAGCCCATAAAAATATATTTGCTGAGCCTGGTGTAAAATTCAAGAGTTGTATAATTAAAATTTACTTGTGAAATCTAAACCACCCTTTCGTTGACTAAATAGTGTAATCAAGTCAGAAGCCCTTGCTTAACAAGTTATTAGATGTAGGTGTAAAAGGCTCAGCTAATAAATAGAAACATAATTCGTGAATTTGCTAATCCTTCCCCATGGACAGTTGCTGGCATTGAGTCTTTTTATTTAAACAAAACCGCATATATGTATGCAAGGCAGCTAAATAGTTGATAGAAAATTGCCATTGAACCAGGAAGCTTCTGGCAAATAGTGGCTCCTGCAACCCTGGGGCAGTCCTTCACCCTCAGTGCTCTAGGGCAGCTGTCTGAAGACAAGTTGGAGAGAAGATGCTGACCTGCATTGGTAGATCAAGTTGCCTATTATTCCATTGAAAGTGTGTGTGTGTGTGTGTGTGTGTGTGTGTGTGTGTGTGTGTGTGTG